TCTAAATGCCTAGGTAGTCTTGCTAGATGTCCTTTTGAGCTAATCAGCATGCTTTCTTTCTTAATTCACGCTTGAATTGCTAGAGACTAGCAATAAGCCGGTTGGGGGTTGTGATGAAAGCATGAAAATGTATATCTAAAGTGTGCTTAACCATGGACATTTGTGGAATTATGGGTTTAAGAGATATATTTTTCTACAAATAATTTAATAATTGTTTACTTTATTCATGTTGTGCAAAATTTTGGTGATTAAAGGTTTGATGACTAAATGGAGAGAATTAGAAGAAAAAGGACTTAAATGAAAAGAGCTGAAAAGATGAGGATCTAAGGATAAATCAGAAGTTTAAAGGCTCAAGTGAGATTTTCTCCATTCTTGATCAAGGAGCAAATTGCAAAGCTCAGAAATATGATGATCAACTTGCATGGAATCCAGGAGTCAGGGACCAAGACTGTTATTCTGCCATTAAGCAAAATTGCACAAAAGGCCAAAAACCCGACACGAAGGATGCAGCTGACACTCCACGCAAAATGCCGGCACCTTGTAAAGAGTGTCGACCCCTTGTGTGGTAATTCAGCCCAGCCCCACATCCATTCTAATTAGGGTTTCTAGGATACTATAAATACCCATCCAAGTTATTTTAGAGGGGGTTCCAAGGCTGGAGAGGCTGCTACCAGACTTCTATTTTCTTTTTCAAGACTAGAGAATTATGTCAAAGGACAACTAAACTTTCAACAAAATTAGGGAGGATATTGATTGAAGAGTTTGACTTGTTATTTTATTTTGATTTCTTCATAGATTTTATTGTTTAATTTTATTTTTGAGAGATTGTTAATTATTTTCAGATCTGAAAACTCTGAAAATTATATTTATCAAATTTCATATAAGATTAGTCATGCTCTTTTTATATGTGATTTGTTAGAATATAATTGATTGGTAGATTTGTTTTGCGGGTTAATCCTTTACTGTAGTATTGTCGATTAGATATATTGTCGCTCTCGGATAGCTCGTAAGGATAGATCAGTTTGTTCTTATTGAAATTAATTTTTCTCATAATAAATACATTAGTCATTATTATTGGTTTTCAAAGTTGAATCTTCCGATTGTTTGTTTGGGATGTGAAACATGCAATTGAGTAATAAATAGGAATCAAAATTTATAACAGTTAAACAAATCAATTAAGTGAACCCTGAAATCTTGTTCATCATAATATTGTTTTTAATCTTTTACAATTATCATCTTTTATTTAAATATTTTTATTCTTAATTTTAGAATTCATCTTTTAATTTAATTTCTCATTGTGACAACTCTCTTTTTGTTGATTTAATATAACTTCCCTGTGGATTCGACACCTAAAGCTACGCTACAACAACCGCTTAGCCAAAGGGTATTAATTTTGAGGTGAGACATTAGCTATTTTGGTCACCATCAACAACTTGCAACCATATTCAATGTAAAGGTGGCTGCACAGTGCTGAAAAGGGTGGCTACACAAGTTCCCTGGCCATGGGAATTGTTGAAAAAGATCTGATTTCGTTGGGAAAATCTACCAAAATCTTGGTTAGACCTCGAAAATATACCAATATCTTGGGCAGCCCTTGAGAATCTTCCAAAATCTTGGATAGACTTGATTTTGCCTGTTGCACTCAAGCATCACCCCAAAAGTGGAATTTCGTATGGCTAGGGGAATTCCCAAATATAGGTAGTTTCTAGTCTATCATTGGAACCAACGAAGCTTCGCCAGAACCATTGGGTAAATTCATAATATCACTGCCAAAAAATTGTTAGTCATGCCCAAAATCACTCAAAACTTGACAGCTCACCCAAATTTACCCATTAGGCCACTGTGCACCTTTGAACCATCAACCTAGAAATTACAAAAATGCCAATACACACATATATATTATTTTTCCCTTCATTTTTCAGCAAGAATAGACAAGATTTTTCACAACTTCAACTTCCTTCTCACGTACCAAACCTCTTTTCTTTCTCTGAAAAATACTTCATCCTCACCCACTCCCTCTACACTTTGAAATTACCCAGAAGTCACCATTTTCTTCGTATTTTCTACACTTCCAACACTGTTGAACAATTTCCAGACTTGCAGAACATCATGGCTGGGAGACAGCATACTGTAGATTCATTTTCTGGGTTATCTTCATGAGCATCAAAGGTTCAAGCTGAAGAGTTAGCATAAAAAAGGGGATCAAACCCTCCACTCACAAGACCCCAAGACGATCATCCTTCCTTCTCCCATTGCTACTTTCAAGTTTGTTCATTTTGTCTTGATAAAGCTTGAAGGAGACCATTGTGCTTTTTATCTACAACGTGAAGGTTGCTCATTATAGAGTAGGAGTATTTGTCAAGAATAATAGAGGGCAAATTCATTGTCTTTACTATTGTGCTACAATATACTATGTAAAAATGTGGTTCTCAAGTTGTAATTTTTGACCCTTACATATTTTCTATCCTTGCTACTCCTACAACAATGTACATTTTATTTTCATTATTTTTGATAGTTGTGTAATCATTCTTGTTATCCTGGGAGCACCATCATCATCCCACTCATTCTGGCTTGGCCGGGGACATTATTTTTGGACTTCGCTGGAGAAACTCTACTTCTGGTCTTTGCTGGAGAAACTCTATTTTTAGACTTTGCTAGAGAAACTATACTCCCGGTCTTCGTTGGATAAACTCTATTTTTAGACTTTGTTGAAGAAACTCTACTTCTGGACTTTGTCGGGGGATTTGCTACTGAACAACCTCGTTAGACATCTTGGAACTTTATCTTCACTGCCGGCTCTCTTTCTCGGCTTGGCTAGAAAACTTACACCTGCAGACTTTGTTGGAGAATTTACTGTTGACCAACATCGTTGGACATCTTGAAACTCTGTTGCCGCTGTTAGCTCTCCTTCTCGGCTTGGCTAGAAAACTTACATCTTCAGACTTTACTGAGGAATTTGCTACTGACCAACATCATTGGGTGGAATGAGAAGGCCCATGGCATGTAGCCTCGAGCACGTGAAATGAGTGCCGCCAAAAGGACCCTCCTCATCATTCATGGGTGGTATCCTAGTCAACGTCCACATCATCACCACTGTTGACTCATCAACCTACAGCACACCCCCAAACAAAATGGTGACTCCATTGGGGAGGTCATCTTAGAGCTTCATCTTTTTCTGCTTTTCTTCAACGGTATAATATCTTTAATATTCTTCCTCAGCTATATTTATTCATATTCAACAAAATTTTTTTGACCATGTGTGTCACGAGAGCAACTTCATCTCGCATTGTTGGCGAAAATCAAGAGCTTGGCCAAGATGATGAGTGGGAAGTTCAACAGCCATGTCCATTGACAAATGTTTTTAGTGATCTCTTGCAAGGAATCACTAATCCAAGCCTTGCATCATTGGTTCAAGTCATTTGGACCTTGCACGAGGGTCAACAAAGGACTACTCAACTTCTCACCAACTTGCAAGCTCAACATGCTATGCAGGATCCAGTGCAACTAGTCAACATGGGTAGGACGTTCCAGCCACAAGAGGTCCAAACTACAGCTACCGATAACGCTGGGGGCTCTATTGCACAACCTAGTAACACAACACCGCCAGTAATCACAGTCGCCAACATCGATAGAGCTCCACCTAACACAACTGTTTCCACTCAAGTCTTCGTTACCATGGCAGATCTTACTACTTTCTTAGATAAGGAACGTTCTAGACAAAGTTCAACCACTTTTCAGTTCATCCATGATCTACCCTATCCAAAGGAGATTCTGTCCAAGCCTTACCCAAAGAAATATGAAAGTCCTACATTCCTGCAATATGATGGGAGCATGTTAGCAAGTTCCTCAATGCCATGGGGGCTCATGTTGGCGATAAAGACTTGTGCCTACATGAGTTTTCTAAATCTCTCTCTGATAAAGCTTACAATTGCTATACTACTTTGCTCCCTGGCTTTATCCGCTCTTGGGATGAAATGATTGAGCAATTTTGTCAAAAATATTTTCAAAGTGAGGAGTGCATCACCATTCTTGATCTTCATAATACTCGCCAATGTGCTGGCGAAGATTTGGTGGTTTATGTAAAAAGGTTTAGAGATTTGGCACTTGATTGTTATGGTAGTCATGTTGAATCTTTCTTGTTGGAGATTTGCATCAACATGTTCCCAGTATATCGTGCTATCCTTGAAAATATCAGGATAAGTCAATTTGCAAGTCTGCTCGATGCTACCAAGAGAACAACCACATCTATCAAAGCTATCTCTGCTGGAAATCTGTAGCGAAGTTGACAGACAAGAAGGCCATTGTTCACACCTTAGCTGTCCATGCAAAATGAAGCAGAATGTCTAGCTTTTGAAGCCAAGAATGAAATATCCTATAAGCACCTTATGTCTCCTGGTGAAGTTGATTATCTTACATTGCTAGACAAGCTTGTTTATCATTTTGCTTCATTGACATTATAGTCTCATGGCTTCAAACCAACTAGCGGTAGCATTTGAATCTTTTAGATTTGCTTATACATCAAATGCATTGTTTAGCACTTGAGTCACATGATCGTGAACTTGCCAAAGATATTACTTCTTTTAAATGGTCAGTATTAGTGCCTTTTTGAAGTTTGTTGGTGGTATTATCTTCCATGGCTAGTCTTCGTACCTCTTTAAGGTCTGTTGGCAATGTTATGTTTCATGGCCAGCATTAGTGCCTTTTTGAGGTCTATTGGCGGTGTTATCTTCCATGGCCAGTATGGTTGCCTCTTCAAGGCCTGTTGGCAATACTATCTTTTATGGCCAGCATTAATGCCTTTTTGAGGTTTGCTGGTGGTATTATCTTCCATGGCCAGTATTCGTACCTCTTCAAGGCCTGCTGGTAGTGTTATCTTTCATGGCCAACATTAGTGCCTTTTTGAGGTTTGTTGGTAGTGTTATCTTCCATGGCCAATATTGTTGCCCCTTCAAGGCCTGCTAGCAATACTATCTTTTATAGCCAGTATTAGTGCCTCTTCAAGGCTTGCTGGCGGAATCATCTTTCTTGGCCAGCGTTAGTGCCTTTTTGAGGCTTGCTGGCGATGTTACCTTTTATGGCCAGCATTGATGCCTCTTCATGGTTTGCTAACAATGCATCTTCAACGTCTACTACCAATATTATCTTTCTTGGCCAGTATTGCTGCATCTTCAAAGTCTACTGGCAATGTTAGCTTTCATGGCTAATATTGGTGCCTCTCCAAGACTTGCTGCTATTGTTATTTTTCATGGCCAATATTTTAGCCATCTTTGGTTTGCTGGCAGCATTCCTATCTCTCATGGCTAGTATTTGTGTCACATCAAGACCTGCTAGAGATGTTGCTCAATCATCTCTTGGGTGGCATTTGTGTCACAATAAACTTATTATGTGATGGTGGTGCCTCTCTCATTGTCAGCATTTACGTCATCCTTGACTTGTTAATGGTGTGTTCTTCTATGGCTAGTATTTCTTGCTAGCAATATCCTTGCACTTGATGAGTACTTGTCCTACTTTAACAAAATGCATTAACATTGGGGGCTCATCGCCAAATGAGCATGGCTGCTCATAGAACAAATGGACCAGGCTCATCACCATAATTATTAGTTATTTCAACACAATTCTGACGAAGTAGGTGACTTATTTGAGCAACTTCGCTAGGCAATTTCATTGGAACTCAGCCAAGGATTTCTGCACATTTTCAACATGCTTTGCTAGCTTGTCAATCTGCTCAAACCATTTGCCAGCCACTCCGCTCCTAGCCATGTCGAACTTGCTTTTGTCAAGGTACGCCTTCTCCAGCCTAAATTCCCTCAACTTTGAAACTTATGCTCTTAGCGTCATCTGTGGCATCCCTACACAAATGAAAGAATTCCTCATCCATCTTAGCAAAAGGAGTTACTTTCATATGCCTCACGGTCACATAAAGATTTATGGAGGCGTTCTCAATCATTACTTTGCTGTGCATGTTGTCTATATCACTTAACTTGGCTGGAACAAAGGAAGACTTGTTTTTAGACATGATTTTTCTAGAGCTAATAGCCTTCTTCAATATGCTCTTGGCTGGTGCATCAACATCCATCTTGTCTTCGTTGGGAATAGAATCCTTTAAAGCCATAGCCAAGTATGACACACCTTTCTTTGGTATAGTTTTTTATGCCAACTTCGACATCAGACATGCCATCATCTTCATCGCCACTCTAATAGTTGGATTTATGGTTACCTTTTGATGCTTCATCATTCTTGGTGGATTTCACGTCATTGTCTTTGTTGGACTTTGGGTTAGGCCTGTACAGCAACTTTCTTGCCTTTATCTTCGTTGGCAACTACTTGAATCTCAACCATATCACCCTCAACATCTGGCAAAGCAAGCAAGAGCCAACTATTCAACAAAGATCTTATTTTTCTAGAAGAAAAGTTGAAGACTCCTTGTGCGCCAAGACAACATCATCGGCTTTAAAAGGAGGATCTAAGTGCTCATCGTATGAAATCTGAGGACCACATCTGCAATTTTACTGTTGAAGAAATTGCAAAAAAAAGGCAAACCTGACATGAGTGTAGTGTCGACACATGATTCACAGTGTCATTACCATGTGCTCAGCATCCACGATTCAACTGCAAAGGATGCAAAATCGTTGTTGACGTGGCAAGACGGATGGAGTCACCATCTATCCAAATGAAGTAGAATAAATCACCAAAGTCTATGTAAAAATTAACTAGACTCAGAGGATCAATTAAGTGAAGGGAAGGTGTTAAGCATCCCATAACTTTTATATAAAATGGTTATCACATGCTTTAATTTTGAAAAATTTTCAATTTTTATCAAAAAGTAATTACCAAATAATAATAATAATAATAATAATAATAAACAAAAAAATCACTTTCAAAAGAGCAAAAAACAAAAATCTGTTCGTTTCGGTTTCCCTTTATTTTCCTTTTTTTTTCGTTTCTTTTTTTTTTCTCTTTTTCTATTTTATTTCTTTTTTTTTATTTTTTTATCAATAATAGCTACCAAAAAATTCACTTCAAAAAAATTAAACAAGTACAGTCCGTCCTCATCTTCCTCTTTCCTTGTTTCTTTTTTTTTTTATTTTTTTATTTTTTTATCTAATGCCTTTCAAAAGAATAACAAATCCAAGAAAAAAACTTGTTCATTATTTCAGATATCCGTAGCATCAACTATTTCATAGTACCCATAACCTCACCCAGACAGCAACTTCTAAATGATACCCAAATTCAGGGGAACAAGAAAAACAATGATTAAACTTAAAATGATGCTAACTGATTTTGTTAAATTACTCTGGTAAAAAAAACACAACCATGAAACTAGATGATGAACAGAACTAGAGATCAAATGAAGAAAGAAAATATGTATGCAACAAGAAAATCACCTAATAAAAATTTTCTCAAGATTATTTGTGGACAAACCATGTAAAGAATCAAATTAATATAACAACCAAGCGACCAAAGAAATGAAAGGAAAGGAAACAAATGCAGAAAATTGAGATTCAAGGTACAAATTCCTCCATATTAAAAAAAGACACACTTGAAATGAAGAAAAGCCAATTTATTTATTTGCTACAAACTTCAAAATACAATATTTCTTCCTCCCTTTGCTTCACACTTTCTTTGTCGGTTCTTGGATTTCTTTCCTCTCTCCCTCGATTTTTTCCCCTCTTCTTGAAGCCGAAGGCCCCCTCTTTATACAGAAACAGAGAGAACCCCAATCCTTTTCTAATTCTAAATTCTAGTCCCAATCCCAAAATTACAGATAATGATCTAGCCCTATTCGAAATTGGAATTCTAAAATTAATCTAGTCCTTTACATATCTTTCCTCTTTCAAGGCTAGATTCATACTTTTTAAAGATTAAGACGCCCGATTTGAATCCACTTCGAAAACTTCTTCTCCAATTCTTGATAAGGACTTCAAATCCGAAAATCTCTTCTTATGGTGTTGTGATCTATCTAAACTTCTAGTGGCTTTGGAGATAAATCAAGAAGAGTTTGTGAAATTTTGGAGATGGTCGGCAGCCAAAGGAAGAAACGGGATTTTTGGGAAGTTAGGGTTCGACAGAACCTTTGGCTTTATTTTTATTTCAACTTACAGGCAAAACGATGTTGTTTTGCTAGTTCTTCATCTCAGCCTTCAAGCTTCACACTTTTTGCAAAATGGTCCATGAACTTTTACTTTTATCACTTAGCCCCAATTAAAATTGAATTATGATAATCATTTCAATCAAAGACATCATCAACCAAGCCAACTATGATATCAAGAAACAAAGGCTCATTTGCCTCACCAGCAATGATCTTTCAACAGACTACAAGCTTCGCCAGAGCTTTATTCATATTTTTCGCTAGAGCCTTCTTCATGTTCTTGGCCGGAGCCTCATCCATTCTTGGTCTCCTTTGCCTTGGATGAAACTTCATAATTGCCAAGAATAAGAATGGAGTCCAGCCCTTCACTAAAAACTGGGGGCTACCAATACAACCCTACACTAAAGGTTGGGGGCTACACATATAAACAATGACTCACGTATGATGGTTTCTTAGTGAGGTCAACAACGATATAAAGCTTGTTGATTATGCAAGGAAAGCTCATTAGTGCCCACACCTGCCTTCTCTTCATTTTCCTTGGGCATTTTAGCTTTGTGATGCATGGATGCTTTCACTTTCATTTGTTTGCTGGCCAGCGAAGCACTAGACTTGTGGGCTTTACTCTTGGATGGCTTGGCCATACTCCTTCTATTGCCTAATGCTGGTTTCTTGGAAGAAATTACTTGGTTGATTTCACCTACAAAATTGCACAAACAACTAAGTGCAAAAATCTCTCTATTATATCCAACCATGCTAAGACCTCAAATGGAAAAAGAATTAAGGCTTCAAGAAAAAAAAAATGGAAAAGTCTATTTACCTCCAGCCTTAACATTGCCAGCCTCTTGACCTTGCTCTTCGCCAATAACCTTACTCTGGCCAAGTTCATCTTTTTGAATTCTAAGCATAGGCAATCACACTGTGTTTTCGCTCTGCATGGCTGCAGCAACATTAGTGATATAAGGCCTCATGGCCATGTCCCAATTAGAGCTATCCAAGAAAAGAGTTGGCAGAACATCTAAGTCATAGCCAAATTGCCATGCAACTCTCTCTGCGCAGTAACTTATGAGGTTATGCAGTCTTTCTACATGATAAATGACAGCATGGATGGTGTAATCACAACCAATTTCTCTAAGTGGCTTGCATGACCTACAACGAAGTCTATTATTCAGTTTCCCAACACTACTGCAGTTGTCTTGTCAAAAAAAAAAAAAAAGCTTACCTGCAACGGTGCAAGTATCTCCAACATTGTCTTGTATACATGAAAGTTAGAGTTGACATGATTGCTAAGAAATATATCAGAATTGGAAGAGATTTGTCTCCTTATCTTTCTCTTCCCTATTTTTAAGCAAGCCAACGAAAGCTTCATACTCTTAGCTAGCCTATGGCTGGGGGAATTTCAACTCAATTTCTTCAAGAGAGGAAGTTGATTTCTCAATTGCTAATGACTATCTTCGGAGCAGCTTCAACTTCTCTTTAGCTTCAGATTACATGCACAATGTAAGAAAAAAAAAATCTCTACTTGTTGTATCCCACTCTAGATCCATTATTTTTCAAAGAGGAATTGCATCATCATTGTTGGAACTCCGGCGATGACGTGACTAAGGCCAACATTCCAACCATATATCTACAATGTTCAAAGTCATTAGCCGGGTACTTCTAAACTGCATCTATCATTTTGAATTATGCAAGTGAATCTATTCAAAAAGGCTTAGTTAAGCATGAAGATACTTTATCATATACAAAAAGTCTTTGACTTTGTGAATATTTTTTGAGCTTCATCTTTGTTACTTATCATCATGGCTGAATTTGGCTTTGTTCCATCCATGTCGGAGCATCATCATCAACAATATTAAATTTCTTAGCTGGAGTCTTGCTTTAGCCGTGCTCAATCCTATCCATATCAGAGCATCGTCATCAGCAATTTTAGATTCCTTGGCTGGACTCTTACTCTAGCCATGCTTGATTCTATCCATGTTAGAGCATGATCATAGATAGCATCAAATTCCTTGGTTGAATTTTTGCTCTGGCCATGCTCGCTTTTATCTTTGTTAGTGCTTCATCAACAATATCAGATCTCTTGGCTGGAGTCTTGTTCTTGGTGCTTTTGAATCCACCTCTGTCAAAGCTTCATCAACAAAAATCAAATTTCTTAGCTGAAGTTTTGCTTTAGCCGTGTTGAATCACTCACAACGCATCTACCTTGACCAAAGGGTTCACATGGCTTGTCTCTACAACAGACATGCTATGTTATATTTCTTAGGTTAAATACCCTTTTTGGTCCGTCTACTATAGGAAAAAGCCCCTTTTTAGTCCCTATACCGAAAAAATCCCCTTTTTGATCCTTACTGTTCACAAATCCGGCCCCTTTTTGGTCCTTCCGTTAAATTTTGGCTTACGTGGCAGGTTAACTAACAGAAAATTTTTTTTTTCTTTACTTAAATTACGTGTGAAATCCAATTGGCAAAACTTGATGACATGGCCAAATTTTTTATTTTTAATTACCAATATACCCTCCCTCATTTTCTTCCCCCATCCTCTCCTTCTTTCAGCCTTTTATTTCTTTTTTTTTTCTTTGTTTTCTTACCTTTAGGTGAACCCAGGAGTCTGGGTTCGTCGCGATGAACCCAGCTGGTGGGTTCGTCGCGATGAACCCTGCTCGTGGGTTCGTCGCGATGAACCCTGCTCGTGGGTTCGCAACGAACCCAGGAGCATGGATTCGCGACGACACTTCAAGCACGGAAAAATGTTAGTTGGTAAGATTGGATTGATTTGGTTAAATGATTCTGTGATCAATTGAGCACCAAGACTTGGGTGAATTAACTATTTTTAACAGGTTCTTCCAAGAAGGAAGTTGAATAGGTTTTGACATTGAGTGCTGGAATTTCAAATCCTCAATTTTCAATTTCCTGAAATTTTTGATGCTCTTGTGTTTTCTGTTGTTGGATGTTTCTAGAGCTGTTTGTTTAAGAAGAACATGCTTTCTTTTTTTTGGCAGGGATTGAGAACCCAGCTCGCGCCTGGGTTCGCGACTTGGCAGAGATTGAGAACCCAGCTTGCATATGGGTATGTCGCGAACCCAGGCTCGAGCTGGGTTCATTGCCAACCCAATCACACGAGCTGGGTTCATGGCGAACCCAGTCGCGAAGCCAGTCGCGCAAGCTGGGTTCATCCTGGGTTCGCGATGAACCCAGGCGTCTGGGTTCATCACAAACCCGTGAGCTGGGTTCGCCTGAAGGTAAAAGGAAAAAAGGACAAAAAAAAAAAAAAAGCTGGAGGAAGTGGGGTGACGTGGAGGGTGACGTGGAGTCCACATAAA